TAGGTGAATTGCCTCTTATAGACACTCATCTAAGGAGAGGGTACTCAGGGGAATAGGAAAGGTCTGAGGTGGAAACTGCATGGTTTAATTTTTCCCCCAGAGGAAGACTCTGACGCAAGATTATTGCAAATAGATTTGGAATGGAATCCCAGAAACATCAGTAGGGGGCTAGAGAATGAGAGAAGCAAGAAAAAGAAGCTAAAGAGGAATGTGATTATAGGAAGCAAGGTCTCAATCTTCAGGAGATGGAGTAGAACAGCCTCAGATTTCTCTCTGAGCAATGAGAAATCTGAAATATTTAATATAACAATTCTTATTGGCTGTTAGTTGAGAGCTGCCCTGAGGACATTAATGTCCTGTGTTTCAGCCCATTTGACATCAGGTCAAGCATATTACCACGGCAGATGGAGCCCCTAGGTAGAAAGACATGGGTTCTTATAGCGCAAAGAAGACAGACTCCATCATATTTCAGGTGAATCTAAGCTGTTGCATGTGTAATAAGCTGTCTCAGCTGATAGGCAGGCAAATAAAAAAAAAGAATTATGAATTTTATCAGCTTCATTAAGTTTCTGAAAAACACCAGCCAATAACTGGATTTCCAAACTCATTCCCTGAATGTTCAGTCACTCTTTTTCTACCTAAATGAGAAGAGTCACCTCAAGCAAATTAAACATGCGTATTCTATCTTTTAAACCTTTGCTCAATCCACATCCAATGCATGTTTCTTGTAGGTCCAGAAGCAGACCCTGATGCAGGGGTCCCAGTATAAATGATGTATTAAGGATGTTCCCTTACATGAAGGGGACAGGAAGCAGGAGAGGGAAGGAAAGAACCCAAGCAGAAGTATAATTTACCAGGATGCTCCAACTGAAGCCTGTTCTGCAGAAGGCTCTAAAGTATAAAATATACCCTAGGAGTGGTCATGTCTTAAGACAAAGGAGCTGGGTTATTGTATTCCCAATAGCCAGTCAGACATTGGAAACACTGCCCTGAAATACTCTGGGAGGGCACATTAAGTTTGTCTCAACTGTCACAGATTCTTACATTTTCTGGTTAGTCACAATTTCTGGGAGAAAATTTATAAATGGAAAAGTTAGTGGAATAAAGTAATCTGTTGTAGCATTTAGACCTGCTAAAGTAATTAGCATAAGTAATGGTCATCATCTCCCTTCTCTGATACTGTTTTAGATTCCCCAGGAAGCTTTGGCTAGTGCCCCTGTCAGTGTAGGTTACTTTCCTGGAGGGGCTATCAAAACCACCATCCCTGAGGAGTCTAGGCCCCTAGTTACCAAATTTTATCAAGCCATAGCATGATAATACTGAGAGATGCCCCAGTAGGTCTCCCAAATGGAACATTATTTTGTCTGCTTCCCTTATATAGCAGCAAACCCTTCTCATGGCCCTGACAACTCAGCTCTTTCATGCATCTCCTGCTGCTGAGCCTCCACTGAGTGTCAGCTCAAGATCTCACCTCTTCCATGAAGCCTTTCCTGGTCTTTGCATTCCTCAGTGCCTTCTTGTCCCTATAACTCAAGTAAGTTACTGCTTATGCCTCTCACTCAGGCTGAATTGCATTCTGCATTGTAATTCCCCTTTACAGAATTTTTACTGACCTTGGACAATGTAATTTTGTTAACTTGTGAGTGTATGTGTTGTCTTTCCAATAGGAACCTGAACACCTGAACATGGTTCTATCCCACACTTCACTGGCTGCCTCCAGTGCCAGATGCAGGTTGCTCTGCCTCCCCAGGCCTCAGGGAACTCGTGTTGAATTAGCAACTGAACAGCTTACACAATAGCATTTCTGCACCATAGAACTAATTCGTGATTTTTCTCATCATAAGTCTTGCTTCCAAGAGGTCTCTAACTTATTTGGTTGCCAGTGTCACTCATTATCGTTCAGGCTACAATCATTTTTCAAAAAACAACTGAGAGCTTCCAGAGGTTTGACCATATGACATTTTCAGATCAGCCCTTAAAAGCACATATTTCTAGATGCTTTATTATTAATACAAATTATGTGCAAATGAATGTCATAACTTTCCCCTACAAAGAGAGATTTTTTTTTCTTTTTTGGCATTACTCAGACCTTGAGTTTGACAAGCCTGCTTTGGAGATATTGGGTATTTGTGGAGAGGGTAATATAAACATTTACATAAAGAGGCAATTCAACTTACATTCAACACCTTTTGGGTGCCAGGAATTGCCCAAGGGACTTCATACAGACTGTATTGTCCAGAGGTATTTTTCTTCTATTTTTTTCTGAAGCTCGTATGGTAGAATATTTTGAAGCATTTTATAGCCTCTTGTGGGAGCTTAAAAAGAAAGAAGGAAAACTCATGTCACTTCATTTTGCAATTAATTACTTCTGGGAAGACTTTGCCTTGTAATTATAGTATTTATCTCTATGTATTTATTATTTTTGATTGTTTCTGTCTTGTATTCTCTATTCAGAAGCAAAAATTGGATACAAAAATAGTACTAATCTTGACTATATGTCTCCAGGCATGTAATCTACTCTCCAAATTTCTGCATTAAATGAGATGAAATAAAATATTTATGTTACTATTAATAGAGGTTAAAATCTATTGAATGCTTGCTGTGAGCCAGGCACTCTGCACAGCACTTTATACATATCATCTCATTTAATGCTCACAGCAATTTTCAGAGGCAAGTACTATTATAATCTCTGTTTCATAGATGCTTAGGGCAGCTTAACAACTTCCCAAAGACCATGCAGCTAGTAAGTAAAGAAACTGAACTTGGCCAGGTACAGTGGCTCACATCTGCAATCCCAACCCTTTGAGGGGCTGAGGTGGGCAGATTACCTGAGGTCAGGAGTTCGAGACCAGCCTGATCAATATGATGAAACCCTATCTCTACTAAAAATACAAAAATGCTCTTGTAACTATTGCTGCTAAAGTGGACCATCAGTAAAATGACACATTTTGGGAGTAATCTTTCAGGCACTTCTAAATCAAATAATTAGTATTTACTCAATTTCTTTTGGTAATAAACATGGAAAAACAAGTAAAAGGTGGCTATTATGTACTGTTAATGTGGTATTTATAGAAATTTATGTATTCATATCCTTATTGAAACTTTTGTATAATTTTGATTTTAGTGTGTAGTATTGTTCTGTACATTATTTTTGCAATACCTAAGGTATTAGAGCAAACTAAAAGTTAATTGTAAACATTTTATGATTTTTGTCATAACTACATTTTAAAGTAACTATGGTTTTAAAATATACTTGTCATCATTTTCTTGTTTGTGTGAAACTACTGTAAAAACTGTCTTTCTATGTGTGTGTATGTGTTATTTTTTTCTATAGAGAAAGAAAATTTAAATTCAGAAGTTAAAACCATCAATATATTATTTTTTAGAAAATAAAAAAATACAAAAATTAGCCAGGCTTGGTGGAATGTGCCTATAATTCCAGCTACTCGGAAGGTTGAGACAGGAGAATAGCTTGAACTCAGGAGGCAGAGGTTGCAGTGAGCCGAGATTGCACCCCAGCCTGGGCAACAAGAGTGAAACTCCGTCTCGAAAGAAAGAAGAAAGAAAGAAAGAAAGAAAGAAAGAAAGAGAGAGAGAGAGAGAGAGAGAGAGAGAGAGAGAGAGAGAGAGAGAGAGAGAAAGAAAGAAAGAAAGAAAGAAAGAAAGAAAGAAAGAAAGAAAGAAAGAAAGAAAGAAAGAAGAAACTGAGCTCTGCTGCACAGAGGAAAAAAAGCCTCCCTCCTTAGTCCTCTCCTTTGAGATGGCAAAAGAAGTTGTATTCTCAGCCTGGTCTTGCTAGCCGAGAGGTCACAAACTCTTTGGGTCTCAGTTTCCTTATTTATTGAATAGATATTCTAATGACCGCATTGCTATGCCCATCTATCTGTCCATCATTTGTCCATCTTCGAGCATTTAACTTTCACTGTTTTACATTTTGCTTATAAGAGTTACTGATAGCTCTCATACAGTGTGTTATGTTCACCTTTATACCTATAGTTCCTACGCCACTATTCTAAATGCTTTAAATCTTAATAGATTTAAATCATTTACTTTTCATGATACAATGAGAGAGGTATTCTTTTTATCCCCACTTATTTCAGACTTAGGGGGTTGTTTGACCCCAATCACAATTACATTAATGGTGTCAGATAGATTTTAACATAGGCATCTGGCTCCAGAGTCCATGCTCTTAATTACTATGCTATACAAGAAAGCAACTTAACTTTCTTCTCAAATCCAGGTACTGTTTCAGAATAGATTTTTCTATATGTTTTTATCTACTTTTTCCTCTTTATTCTTTAGCTCTTGTTTGTATTTCATGATCTGTATTTATTTTTGTGTAATTAGAGATGTGATTTTTCAGTGCACATTACTTTTTAAATCTCAGATATGAAATCTCATACATAGATTAATTTTAATTACCATTGATTGATTTCTTAGAAACAATATTGAAAGAGAAAAATTTTCCTCTACTTTTCAAGTTTTATGACCTAAAATGTGACAGGGAGCAAAAACTGCCACTTTGGCATAAGAATTATTTTGAGTTAAAACAATCGTGAAGAAATAAAAACAGAAAAAAAAAGAAGCTCTCTGCCCTCCACCTATTTTCCTAAAAGTAGGAAGCAAATTTGCAAAAGTGCCCCTCTTTACCTCTGTACCAAGAAGGATAAAAGCTAATCATTAAAGACAGCGTTAGATCCTTGTCAGCCCGCAGATGGTACCAGAGGGATCTGCAGAATAAACTTTACCAACCAGACTTCGACCACCACTTCTTTCTCATATAGTTGCACTCCCACGATTTACTGTTCCTAGAGCTTATAGGTCTCTTTCCTCTGTCTTGTCACTTCTCTAAAAATTTTTTGTTCCTTTGCTATATATATCCGAGTTCTAACCAAACTTTTTTAAGTTACTCATCCCTGAGTTTCTCTTATGTATATATGAGATATGCACATTGGTAAACCTTTGTTAGTTTTTGCTCATTAATCTATCTTTTGTTGCAGAGCTTCGACTGAGAATTTAGAAGAGAGTAGATGGAAAATATTTTTCCCTCCTGTCCAAATGCAAGGATAATCTTACATGAGTCCAGGAGGAAGGTAAGTAATATTAAAGATACAAGAAGATGAATGGCTTCATATTTTGCCTTTTAGACTTTCAGAAGACAAGGGTTTAGATGAAAATTAATGCAAATCTAGGATAAACAAAGCAATCACAAGGAGCGTTAGGTCCCAGATATGCTAATTTTGGTCTCTGCAGGTCATAGAAAACAGAATTAAGACATAGGGACTGAAAAAGATTGTTAACTAAGTCCTTCACCTTTAAAAATGAGAAGTAATCAATAATTTAAGATTCAAACTAAGTGGAACAGAATTTTTAAAAATTAACACTATGACAAAAAAAAAAAAAAGAGCAGTAAAAAAGAAAACAGATTGGTCAGTTAAGCATTTCATTGTGAAAACCTTGAGGTATAACCAAAGAATATCCAAAACATTTCTGACATCAAAGCATTACAGTTAAGATTAATATTAAGAAATGAAGCCTAAAATATAAACAAATTCACCTTTTCAATGTGACTTTTATTATTTACTTAAAAATCTGCAGTCAGAAAATATGAAAAGAACATTCACTAATCAGAGCCAAGTGACTACTCTCCCACAAGTACTTAACACATTACAGTAAATTGTTACAGTATAACCAACATCACACACACACACACACACACACCACATTCTTCCCAGCTTTTTGGCAATTGGTTTGGGATTCATTAGTGAAAGGTGTTTTTGTAGCCACAAGTTAAACAAATTTAAAAAGAAAAGAAAATGCATTTAAGCATACAATCTGAAATTAGGGAAGCAATAATATACGAAGTAATTGGATAGGTAAATCATAGATAGATGATAAATAGGTAGGTGGATAGATAGATGATAGATAGATGTAGACATACAAAGAAATATTTCAACTGATGTGCATTCAAAAACAGATTAATCACAATATTCACTCAGAATATTTTACTGGAGAAAGATGACATTCCAAGGCCATCAACAGTCTACTGCAGGGCTGCAAATTTTGATCTCTGACAAGATGAGCACTGACATTGAGAGTAAGTCTTTAGAAACTTTTATAGCCATTTGGCAAAGAAATTTCATGTCTGTCGAATCTAATAATTAAAAAGATCTGCATTTTCTGCCTTTTTAATAATTTTGTAGTAATTGATTTTTACTATATTTTATGAAAGAATCAGCATTAGAATTTTAAAAAACAAAATTATTCTTTCCCCACAAGTAGTTCACGACACTTTGAATAAAATTATATTTGGTGTTGGGGAAGCTAGGAATTCTTCCTTCTGCTGTGGTTGTACAAAACATATATTTAAGGAGCCTACCATTTTATCTTGGCAGGCATTGTAATTGCTCACTATCAATGTAAGAGAAATTACAGGAGGTGGCTGAGCTGAGAGAAAGGAAAGAATACCTTCCTGTTTAGTAGTTACAGTTTAGAACTGCAGGCAAAGTGTAACATTAGGAAATACAGCTGCTGGTAAACCAGTAGTTTGCCTGTTTGTACCAATAATCCCGGGGTAATTTTTCTTGTATCTATACAGTTTTTCAAAACTTTGCTGTGGATTTCATTCTGTTGTTTATAGATATGACAAGATAACTTGTACCTTTAACATCTTGGCTAAAGCTTTCTTTTAGACTAAAGGATAAGAAAAATAAATGTAGGCATCCCTTTTAGTCTTTGGGGAATTAGTGCTACCTGTGACATTAGCTTCATTTTGTTTTGGTGGCACTTTTTAGTGCTGTGATTTGCTCTCCATAAAGGGCAAAGCTGACCTCCAAAGGGAGGGATGTAAGCAAAAGGTGCCCAAGAGTATAAAGAACTAAAATCTTTATGTCAGAAAGCAAAACAAAAAAGATGTAAACCTTAAGTGTACTCCACCCATTTACACTTCTTAGCTCCAAACCACAAAGAGAACAAAAAAGTACTTTCTCAGACTTGTTTTTTTGATCACATTTTCTGAGAAAAAACATGGTTAAGTTTTAAATGCACTGTCCTGGGCTTACTCTTAGATATCGATCTTTTCATAAAATTGAAAACAGCTGATAGCTCTTAGAGAGCATCTGCCTCACTGCCCATACCACACCCGTTTCTTGGGTCACTGGTCCTATGACCAGCTGTGATCTACAGGACCTATAACATACAAAAGCTCTGCTAATTGCCAGATGTCAGTCGCTTCACTTTTAGACCAACCTTCTTGCTAGCAATACATACAACTTCTTTTTTCTCACCTCTATCACCTCTAACAAGAAGTGTTTGTTAAATTAGAGCACAGTCCATGTTGCTCCCAGAGTTGTTGCTCCAGAATTCCTTCACATGGACCCCGTCTGTGGGCTAGAGTATATGGCTGGTGTGAAAGGCAGTGCTGCAGATTACACTTAGGTTGAAAAGGAACTCAGAATAGAAGTTATATTAATGTGTCTTTTAGGTGTTAAATAGAATAGCTGGAAAAGACATTAAATAATCACTGACTGAGCCCCATTTTAAGCCCCATTTTCCATTGATCTGTAGCCCACATGTCCATTAAGACTGTTGGAAGGACCTAAGAACACTTGTAGCCAGATTTGTTAAAATTGACATCATCTGCTAACAGAGGGTAGGCCAAGAGGCTGCCTAGATTCCTGTTTCTCAGAGAGGACAAGTTGTCCACTAATTTAAAAACAGGAAAACACAGAAGGGAAAATATGAAGAGTCCTAAAACCCCATGTTCTTTCTTTCTGTTTTGTTTTGTTTTATGAGATGGAGTTTTGCTCTGTCGCCTACACTGTAGGGCAGTGGTGCAATCTCTGCTCACTGCAACTTCTGCCTCCTGGGTTTAAGTAATACTCCTGTCTAAGCCTCCAAGCTGGGACTAACAGCACCTGCCACCATGCCCGGCTAATTTTTTTATTTTTTTATTTTTAGTAGAGAGGGTTACACCATGTCGGCCAGGCTGGTCTTAGACTCCTGACCTCAGGTGATCCGCCCGCCTCAGCCTCCCAAAATGCTGGAATACAGGCATGAGCCACTGCGCCTGGCCCTACAAACCCATATTAATTTAATATTTTAAAAGATAAGGAAAATTAGATCAGTTATAGTTACCTTTCAAATTAATTTAAAAGAGGAAAAAAAAGTTAAAAGCATTTATTACACGGAATAGAGGCTTAAAAACTCCAGGAATAGCAATAGTAAACTAGTCAGATAAAAAAGAAAATCCAACCTGTGTCGGAAATAACAATTCATTGTGGACATCCTGGCAGTTTCTATTAAAAGAACTCTCCTCTAAATTTCAAAATAAAATGCAATAAATGGTAGCCTACAAAGATATGTTTACAAAGTAAAAACAAGTACTCAGTACAAAGTAGTAGTATTACATGAGTAATTATCCAGCAAAGTAAGTTAATATATGCTATTACTATTACTAAGGAAATGCTAAAACAATCAACTCACTGTCAAACTAAAAATACGTATAAAATAAATATTTAAAGCTGTCGGAAGAGAGAGGGAAGACAACACAAAAAATCACAAAAAGAAAACATAAAATCGATTTGATAAAATAGCAGTAATATTAAAAAGAACTTTAGAAAAAATAGTGAAATTTAGGCATTTGAATTTTTTTATTGTACTTTAGGTTCTGGGGTCCATGCGCAGATCGTGCAGGATTGGTGCATAGGTACACACATGGCAATGTGGTTTGCTGCCTCCATCCCCCTGTCACCTGCATCTGGCATTTCTCCCCATGTTATCCCTCCCCGACCTCCCCACCCACCCCTGCTGTCCATCCCTTGCCCCCCCTCCGCAACAGACCCCAGTGTGTGATGCTCCCCTCCCTGTGTCCATATGTTCTCATTGTTTAACACCCACCTATGAGTGAGAACATGAGGTGTTTGATTTTCTGTTCTTGTGTCAGTTTGCTGAGAATTATGGTTTCCAGATTCATCCATGTCCCTGCAAAGGACACAAACTCATAGTTTTTTATGGCTGCATAGTATTCTATGGTGTATATGTGCCACATTTTCCTTGTCCAGTCTATAGTCGATGGGCAGTTGGGTTGGTTCCAGTCTTTGCTATTGTAAACAGTGCTACAATGAACATACACGTTAATGTGTCTTTATAATAGAATGATTTATAATCCTTTGGCTATATACCCAGTAATGGGATTGCTGGGTCAAATGGAATTTCTATTTCTAAGTCCTTGAGGAAGTGCCACACTGCCTTCCACAATGGTTGAACTGGTTTACACTCCCAAAAACAGTGTAAAAGTGTTCCTGTTTCCCCACATCCTCTCCAGCATCTGTTGTCTCCAGATTTTTTAATGATTGCCATTCTAACTGGCATGAGGTGGGACCTCAATGTGGTTTTGATTTGCATTTCTCTAATGATCAGTGATGATGAGCAATTTTTCATACGTTTGTTGGCCTCATATATGTCTTCTTTTGAAAAGTGTCTGTTCATATCCTTCACCCACTTTTGGATAGGTTTGTTTTTTCTTGTAAATCTGTTTTAGTTCTTTGTAGATTCTGGATATTAGACCTTTGTCAGATGGGTAGATTGCAAAAAATTTTTCCAATTCTGGTGGTTGCTGGTTCACTCTAATGATTGTTTCTTTTGCTGTACAGAGCTCTTGCATTTAATTAGGTCCCATTTGTCTATTTTGGCTAGCGTTACCAATGTTTTTGGTGTTTTATTCATGAAGTCCTTGCCTATGTCTATCACCAGAATGATTTTTGGCTAGGTTTTCTTCTAGGGTTCTTATGGTGTTAGGTCTTACGTTTAAGTCTTTAATCCATCTGGAGCTAATTTTAGTGTAAGGTGTCAAAAAGGGGTCCAGTTTCTGCTTTCTGCACACTGCTAGCCAGTTTTCCCAACACCATTTATTAAAAAGGGAATCCTTTCCCCATTCCTTGTTTTTGTCAGGTTTGTCAAAGATCAGATGGTTGTAGACATGTGGCATCACCTCCAAGGCCTCCATTCTGTTCCATTGGTCTATATCTCTGTTTTGGTATCAGTACCATGCTGTTTTGATTACTGTAGCCTTGTAGTATAGTTTGAAATCCGG